GTCATTTTCTGATGTTTTTTTGACAAACCAATTGGTGTAGCTGGAGTGATGAGATGTCCTCCTTGTTTGATTATCGTTCCGCTGATATGACTAGGATCTTGCCCAGAACCCCGTTCTGCGTCGTCGCAATCGCTAAATAATCAAACGGCTACCCGTACAGGCACAGATGACATGTTTGAAAACACCTACCACGTTTAATGGAGGTATCAAGATCTAAGACGTACCGGTGCTTCTGCCACAGGTGGAGATGCGTCGGCGGCGCCACGACGCGGACCGTAGGGATCGCTGGGTCGTAGACGTTGCTCATGAAGACGACCTTGTCGCAGCGCCGGCCCCACGTCGCCTTGATGGACGCGGCGCGACCATGGTTCTTCTCGTAGGTGTTGACCCAGCAGAGGATCTTGGCGGCCTTCGCGGGCGCCGGAAGAGCGCGGACGAGCTCGAGTGCGTGCACGTGGCGGCCTAGCTGCGCGCGGACGTCGGCGGACTGCGCGCCGAGCAGCGCCGCCAGCAGCAGCGTCAGCCTCGCCAGCATTCTTCAACCTGATTGGCTCGTTGCACCTGGCAAAATACCATACGTGGCGTAATTTTACGGACTACATCGTAAAAACGTGTTTAAAGTGATTTAACGTCCTTCACACATGGCGATGATAAGCTTACCTTTGCTGCGGCTGCACCGACTTCAGGATCATACATTTTACATACCTGCAAGGCCTCAGGACCAGATAGTCTAGGCTGCCCTATCGCCAAAACAGTCGAAAGGTTTACTACTGAACTCGGGCACTTTGACGTTAGCGGTTCATTTGGAGCGCTTAGTGCACGCACAGTGATCTGCGCCCATCATAGCTTGCAACAGACACTGTGCACAGTGGTGAGGACAAGCGCCGCGATCAGCAAAGTCCCGAGCTCGCTGCGTCCCAACCGTTCTTGTCGCTGAACGGGATCGCGTTGGTCGCGTGCAGGAGCAGCATGGCCTCGCCGCCGCACTGCGCCGCGCTGAGAAGACGCGTGGCATAGTTCAGCCGTGAACGCGTGTACAATTTCACCGAGCGGCGGCCTGTCACTCGACGTTGCTTTTGTCAAACGGTGGCTAAAGTCTATAAATCCATTGCACGAACAACGCGCCAAGGTTGATCGGTAAACGCTGGTCGATCGGACGTCATCCCCCGTAGCCGGCGACCAGCGTCAAGTTGGCAATCCACCAGATCGCGTATGCGGAGAGGAACGCGAAGGGCGGCTTGTCTTGTCACGCGGCGTCTGCTTCTCGGCCAGTACGACCGCCCGTCTGAGCTAGCCGCAGGGTTTCGCTGTCTCCGCTTGGATGGCTCTGCAGAAAGACGGATCGTCAGGCCGCAATCGCCGATGAGTGTCATCGTCGCCGGAATTCGGACGCTCAGTAGTGGTGCAACGGTGGCCGTTTCGTAGCGCGGAGATGCCGACGACGAGCACCGATGACATTGGCCAGCTCTTTGACGAGATCGCCAACAAGAGCACGTGCACAGTCTCTTGCGCCGAGCTCAGCACCGTGCTCCCGTTCACGGCGGGCGACGTTCAGCTCATCTTGACGGGCGTCGTCGACGACATGCGACAGCACAAAGTGGTGCTGGAGAAGAAGGAGTTTACACGGTACCTCAAGAAGGCCACGTCGACCATCTCGCTCGCCCACGTCGTCGTGACGCTCCAGCGACGTCGACACATGAAAACGTTCTCCGAGTTTTACCTCGCGCGGGGCGTCTCGGGCGCGCAGCTCGTGCGACCGGCGGAGAGTACAACAACCGCTTCCAGCGCGTCTTGGTATCACATCCATCGGCGCCTAGGTGGTGGGTCTCGACGTCGCAATAGCCTTCCAGTCAACAGGCTTGACGCGGTCTCAAATCAGAGCGACGACCGGCCTGAGGGCGAGCGCGACACCAAGGACGACCTTCAAGCTCAGTACGCTGCGGTGGGGCGAAGCTTCACTGCCCGACGTTCTCACATTGGAAGGTAGCGCCAGCGCATCGGCCTCGTGCGCGCCTGCCGCGCGGTCAAGACCGCGACCGAGGTGCGCTCACGATACCTGCCGCAAGAGCATAACCATTCACAGGGCATCTTTGCGATTGCGTTTCACCGCAAGTCGCGCCGCCTCGAGCTCCACACCGTCGCACTCACGTTCGTACCGACACCCTCCACTGGGCGCTGATGGGGCGTAGAACACGCGCCGGTCAGATCTACTCGTCGCGCTATTTCGTGCTGCTCTTCTCGCGGGATGCGGGGCAGCTCGCGATTGGCTTGCACCGGGTACCTCGGCGGGCACATCTACTTGGTGCGCAAACAGGGCTGCGCCCACTCGGCGCCGCCCGACATTGTGCTTGACGAGCTACGTGTTCGCGTCGCGCGACGTCGCGGCCGCCGTCGGGCTGGCCGAGCCGGAG